AGCGCCTAGTGGGCGGGGCTCTCGGCCCCCTCTCGGCCGGCGCTGCCGGCTTCCCCGGCACCAGTTCCTCTTGGACTGGGAAAGAAAAAGGCGGGAAAGGGACGCCGAGCTAACGGGGCGGCTGCTGCTGGTGCGGCGTCCGCGGTGGCGTCGCCTCGCTCCCTCGTCAGTCTTCCTTCGGAGGAAGGTACGAGGCTCGGCCTTCGGTCCTCCTCCTCGGGGGCAGTTCAGCATGGGCGGCCAGTGTTGCTGCTTATCCGCGGAAGAGAAGGCGAACCTGCGCATCAACTTGGAGATTGAGCGGAGGCTGCGGCTGGACAAGCGCGACTCCCGCAAGGAACTCAAGCTCTTGCTGCTGGGTGAGTGACCCCGGCGGTGCGCGCCCTCCAGGATAAGGGAGGCCACCGGTGGTAGGCGAGCTTTTCCTCCGCTTCTGGTTTAGGGTTTTTTTTTGGGGGGTGGGGGTGGGATCTGCCGGGCTTTGCCGCCGGAATGGGTTTTAGTTACGCAACCTCCCTTGCTTGGTATCGCCTACTCTTGCAATTTGTATTTGGGCGTGGAACAGGTGAAGTTAACCACAAAGTGTCTCTGAGCATGTACACAAGCCCTTTTGTGTGTGGAGTGAGCTGATCAGACTGCCAGAAAGATTTTAATAATCTTAGAACTACGGAGTTGGAAGGGACCCCAGATGTTGTTGGGCTACAAATGCCACCGGGGTGTGGTGGAACCGAAGTTACTTTTACAGACTCCTATCCACGTTACCAAATTATTTAGATTTGTTTTTTAAAATAATGATCAGATTATTATTATTATCATTATAATCTTCGAACCGCAGAGCCGGAAGGGACCCTGTGAATCATCAAACACGGCTCCTGTCAGGGAGACACAGTGAGGAATTGAACTCCCAACCTCTGACTCTGCAGCCAGATGCCTAAACCCTTGTTCTAAATTACTTGTGCAGGAAACTTCAGAACAAGCGAGATAATCTCTGTGTGGGTGCAGAAGCCGTTTGTAGGTTGTTTCCACACCTCACATCATAGAAGACCCAGATGGGCAACCTGATCTTGTCTGGGGGACAATTTTCAGCCCCTGGCATTGCCTACAAAATCCAAAACAAACACCATAAATGACTGGAGTTCCGCTCCTGTTTTTGACAAGTGGCTGTTCTGGGGCTGCTATTTAAAAGGTTCATCCCTGGCTGGATAGCTCAGTGGCTTAGGGATTTCGGAGTTTGATTCCCCAGTATGCCTCCTTGCAAAGTAGAGTCAGCCTGTGTAGCTGTGGGCAAGTTGCACAGCCCCAGGGTGCTCCCAGAACAAGGGAATAGTAAACCATTTCTGAGTATTTTCTATCTGGAAAAACTTGAAAAAAGGATTGCTGTAAGTCAGAATTAACTTGACTGCATATGATTATTATTTTATTATTGCCATTTCCCGGAGGTTTTCAAGATCAGCAAATAATGGTTTTTTTGTCTGAAAAAAAAAAAGAGGTCCACAGAAGGTCTATTTGAGTAACCACAAGTAGCCCAAGGATCACATTTTTCCTTGTCTTTAGTGTAAGAGTATGTGGAGAGGATTCACTGATCTGATTGGGTGGTTTCGGTTCCCTTTAGAAAGTCAGAATTACACCTTCAGTTTCCTAGCTGAGGACTTTGTGCTCTTTTGCAGTGCATTTAAAAATTAATTTAGTGTTAAGAAAATCTAGGCTGTAATCCATAACCCTGCTTATTCTTCATTTAATTTTTTAAAAAAATATATGCATAGCATTTTGCAACCTTGCCCTTGTAATCTGAAAATTAGATCATCCATATTCACATTTAATGGGAGGAAGACTGAGGCCAAGGGTTGGATGCTGATACAAAGCCACAAAGAAGAGTTTCCAGCATTACATTTCCCCTAGCTGGTTTTGGTGCACATACAGAAGAGGGCAGGAAGTTGTCTTCATAATGATCTGGGGGAAGGACAACAACCCATTCCCTGCACTTTAAGTAACTCTGTAATCTCTAAGGCTTGCCTTTAAAAGGCCAGTGTTGCCCTGGAATTAAAATGAACAAAATGTCTGTTTCAAAGAAATGTGGGCAAACTATGTGAGCAAAAGTGGTGTGGCCATATGTATTCTAATCTTTTAATTTTTCTGGTGTGAACGGCAAGCCTTACAGTGGGGCTGCTAAGGCTGATTTTTATGTGGCCTTTGTCGAGTCAGAGGTAGAGGGGTGCTGCTCGTTCCTGACTTATTGGGGTAAAATGAGATGCCCTTTTCTGAATCATTTAGAAGAAGTTAAACATTGTGTCCTGAGCATATTATGTCAGGTCCAGATGCCTGGGTTAAAAACTCCCATTATCCGTGAATGGTACTCACTGAGTAGCCTTGGGCCAGTCACTGTCTTACAATCAAACCAATCATATATTGTTGCAATGAGGACAAATAGGGTTGGAGAGAGGGAGAAGGAATCATATATTTCTTCCTACAAAGACAGAAGATGTAACTATGATTCCATCCATAGAAACAATGTTCTGGTTTGGGTTATACTGTAATTTTGTTGGGGTTTTAACTTTGTGTAAACTGCCCAGAATGATCTGGGTTGCCAGATGGATGGATGGATGGGTGGATGGATGGACGGATGGATTGATAGATAGGACAACTAAAAAGTTTTTTAAAAGGAGAGCTTTTAAGCACTTTTTGGCAGGCAAAGGGATGTGGTGGTGCTGCGGGCTAAACCACAGAAGCCTTTGTGTGCTGCAGGGCTGAAGACCAGCAGTCGTAAGATTGAATCCACGTGACGGAGTGAGCTCCCGTCGCTTTGTCCCAGCTCCTCGCCAACCTAGCAGTTCGAAAGCGTGCAAGTGCAAGTAGATAAATAGGTACCACCTTGGTGGGAAGGTAAACAGCATTCCGTATATAGCTGTGCTGGCCATGTGACAACGGAAACTGTCTTTGGACAAACGCTGGCTCTACGGCTTGGAAACGGGGATGAGCACCACCCCCTAGAGTCGGACACGACTGACTAAATGTCAAGGGGAACCTTTACTGTCAGGCAAAGGAGGTATAAAGTTGGTGAAGGTCAGTAGTAAAAATGATGTGGACCACTAATGAACTACAGGATTATCCAATTAAGGCTTTCATTTGCAAAGAGGGGAGAGACTGTCCATGGATGCATCTTGTGGAATCTGCAAAACTCCATCTGACCTTGCTGACATTCTGGAGTTAAAGCTACTATATCTGGTCCAATTTTTGACTATTTACCTAAACACCCAATTGTATTTATATCTTTTACCTAGGAAAGAGTTATGGAGAACTCAAAAGCCAGCCTTATTTGCAACTTTTGAGTGATCCAGTGTGGATATCCACTACATACCTGGTGTGGTATAGTATGCAGAGGATTTGGGTTCAAATCCTTGTTTGGCCATGGAAATTCAGTTCGGGGTCAGGGTGGAACTGGTGAAACCACTCCTTATATACAGTACGTATCTCATTTACCTCAAAAGGCCTATTACGGTTGTTATACATTGTTTTGATTTGATGGCATATAACAAGTGATCCAGTAAAATTAACTGAAGTTCCAGTACTAAGAACTTTGTATCTTAGAAGAAAGTTGTGATAAAAGTGTAAATCATCACTGTTCCCATTGTCATCAACACCATCGTCAGTCCTGCGTCTGCACCAAGTCAAAGAATGAACGCTAGAAGCCTAAGAACTGTGAGATGTCCATGGCTTTGCCAAATCAGCATGAGAAACTTTTAGTGTCGAACTACTAATGCAAAACACATAGCTGGCTGCAATAATTAAAAAGAGAGAGAGTAGTAGCCGAGGGGAGTGGTAATCAGCACTGGAACTTCACAAGAGTGCAGGGTTGTTTTTAACCCCGCCCCCCCCGCCCAGCTGTAGTCCCAGAGAAAGTTATCCCCATTCCCCAAATGACAGTTTCTGTCCTTGGCTCCAGAGGAGACTTCTGTCATAGGACTGATGAGCAGCTAAGCAGAAGCCAGGAAATGGTTCCTATCAGGACCACAGCTTGGAGTGAAAGTGTTAAAAAAAAATCCAGCTCACTCCCTAGTCCTGTGCCTAACACTCCCTTTGTGATGGATATGTAAAGGTTTTTTTTTTTAAAAAAATTGTGTTCAGTGTAATATGGAGCTCACGCTAAGGGCAGCAATCCAGACAGGTAAGAAATGGACTTCTGCAAAGTGGTCTGAAGAGGTGCAGTACCGTAGCTACTGACAGTTACTTCTTTGGGGCAGTAATTCTGCTGGTGGTTAACGCAATAGGCACTCTTAGTATCTCTTGCAGTCTTGTTGTTTTCTGAACCAATGAGATCATAGCCTCAAAGAGGGAGCAATGACAAAGAGAGCAAATGGGAAAAGTTCCTGGGAACCAAGAGCAGTCTAGGAAGGCTCAGTGGTGTGCTTGAGATTAATGGGAGTGTCGATGGGAACATAAAATCCTATGGGAAACAGACTCAACCTCTGTCTCACCCTTCCAACATGGGAGATAGTAGTTTTTTACTAGCCTCTCAGTTATACTATCTCATGTACTTCAGTAAGTGTTCAATAAAAAGTATATGAAATAATTCAACGGTGGCTCTTGTTGCATGGATGTACCAGTGCAAATATCACACTCTTTACTGAGAATCAACCTAGACAACGTAGGTATCACACAATAAGAAGGGAGCTCTTTCAAGAGATAGGAGACATGTATTTATCCTAGCTTCACTCCACTGCTTTTGTTGTGTAATTCATCACTAGGGCCAAACATAGGAATTATTTGCACATTGTTCAGACAGGGTGCTTTGAAGGAAATGTGTGACTAGTGGGAAAATACTGTCATAGCAGGGGAAAAAAAGCATTTTCCTTTGAAATATTATTTGATCTACATCGAGTCCACTGGAGAGTAAAGGGGAGTGGCATTCACCACAGGGATACTATTGCCTTAATCATTTCCATCAGGCAGAAAATGAGGTTTTGCTATTAGCATGCAGAGTTGCAATTTGTGCCTGCAGAGAATCGGACAGTCCGTTCACATTAGGCACACTTGAGCAGATGTTTGCAATGACCATACAAATTGCCCTTTCCAGAGTCAAATGTGTGGGGGCTCTGCAGCTTTAAAAGCTCATAAGGGATTCTTTGAGAGGATACTTAGTGACTTTCCCTTTCTGGAGAGAGCGCCTTTTCTTCCATATAAGCACCTGTTCCTGGACGTTTTCTGTGAACTATAGGGGTCTTTGATTTACTTTAAGCTTAGCAAGAGAGCTGTTTTTGTCCAAAAATGGAAAATACATATTCTAATGAATTCCATTCATTTCCACACACAGCTACAGTGGGAATTTTTAAAATGTAGATAGTCTTGCACTAGTTCCTAAGGG